GGGGGAGGGGCTGCAGTGCTTAGTTCATCACACTCCTATACTCAATATTTGTAAGGCAGTAAAGTCTTTTGAGCATCACACTGAGCCAGCCCGTGCGATTGAGTTCTAGAAATTTTAATATATTTTTAATTGAATTTTAGTCTGTGTGTTTATTCACTAGAAGTCTTCTATTGGTTGGAAGTTTATTTTAATTTATTTTTATTTTTTTACTTTTTCAGAAGTTTCATACATACAATGAAATAATTGATGATTGATACTATATGTAACATTTTGGTTAATAATGACCCTCATTTGCTGATCCAGATCGATTCCCGCTCAGGCCTACTAAGGCCTATTAAGCCTTCGACTTTTCCGGAGTCGTTTAACTGGTAGCAGACTCCTCTGGGATAAGAAAAGCACTGACTCGTGCATGGGCTGGTCACCCAAGTCATTGTATAGGGCACATACGCATACAAACTGCCACTACGGGTCTTGAAGTCGAGGCAGAGCGCGTCCCGAATTGGAATTGGTTATACCAAAAACTTGCTTGAACGTGATCCCTATGTTCTTTATGTATGTGTATGTTGATGGTCCATTATGAAGGTTCAAAGAATAATCTCATCCAATCACCTACCAGTCATCACCATCATCATTGGGGTTTGCTATGTTGCCTAATAGGCACGATCCGACCTCACTAATCCCGGAAAGAAAATGGGTTAGCAAGACGTCTTTGCTTTTACTCGCCTTTTTTGCGTTGGGATTTATTATTGCCTCACTTGCTTATACATAGATAGAGCGTTAGAAGGTTGCAAAATTATTGCTGTGGTCAGCTGCTGATAAGTGTTCAGCGTTCTCAGAGCAGTTCTCAGAGCAATGAGGAACTTGATACCCTTGCTGGCAGTAGAGCGCTTTGTAAATCTTGAACAGGAACTCAAAGACACAATATGTAGTAACGATTTCATGGATATGCTTCTTTTCTGGTAATCAGATGTTCAAAAAGTTGACGATGACGTTTATTTACAAATACGCTATGGCATTTCCCTGACTGATCTCCTCGTTTAGTGAGTATCAGGGACCCAGACGTCTTTCTGGTAGACAACTGGCCCTCGAGACGTTTCATGGATCCCACCATATTTTTCCGGCGTGCGCCGCCATGATACCATATACAGAGAGGATTCTGAAAAGCTACAGTTAGTGACAGCCTCACTCATTAACTATGATTGGCAGAAAGGTCTGACCCACCTTCACCAACACCATCGATAAGAATCTTATGCTCGGTCTTGACATCATTCGGTAATTGTTGTTCGAGTACGGCCTGTAGTTGTCGAATGTACTCCATGGCGCCTCTCAAGGTGTCCACCTGGAACATAGAGACATGAATAGGAAGTATGACTCTACTAAGCATTACCTATAGCAGTGGTCCCCTACCTTGGATAGTTTCTTTTCGTTTGTATTGCTCGGTAATCTTTGCCGCAAATAATCGAAGCCACGATTGATGCTGAAGATGAGGCAGGATTAAATCTTCACGGACATGCTCTTCTGAGGTTGTACCTATTCATCCTTCTTCTCTCTCGTTCATTAGCCGCAATTCGTTGTTTCCCGGTGATCTCAGTTCGTCGTTTCTTATATATCCGATCGTCTCCTTCGGAATAGCATGGTGACCGTTGGCAGTAGTTGTATGGTGGTGGTACGTTGTACATTTATTCCTTAATTAATGTTTGTCAAGAATTGATGAAGTTAATTGAGATTGAAAATTGAGCGGAGTAATCAAATAAGCAGACGAGTAATGACGGCAGACGGCCTGGACTGATGAGAGTCATCGAGAGCCTTTCAGCATGGTACAAATTCGTATGCGAACACGGATTCGAGGGTTTTGCTGGGTCTCAAAGTTCTGGCAGGCAGGGAGGGAGTGGAATAGATGCCGCTAAAACACTTGCTAAACGAGGGGTAGCTAAAAAAGGGGGATTCTCGAGAACAGTGGGGAAGAATAAGGTCGGACGTATTCCGAGAGCTCAGGATTATGTGTGTGGGGAGGGGAATCCAATTGAGTTTTACGATGTGCAGTTGAGATGCCATTGAGGGATGGAATATTAATCAGTACTAGTAGCATTCTCAGTATTTTTGGGCAGCGTTGTGAGGGAAGGGGACGTACTAAAGAGGGGTGGATCTAATTCTTCACCTTCATCGCTCAGTTTGGTAGGAAAGGGAGCGGTCAAAGGTTGATCAGGAGAGTAGATGGGGCAGGACACCAAAAGCACTAACTGGTTGCAGTAGAAAATCAACAAGTGGTTCAGGCCGTGTAGGAAATTGAAGTTCCCAAAAGTCATTTTTGGGAGATAATGCGCATGACTTCGGTCACATAGAGTTTAACAAGTGCATTTATCAAAAGTTCTGAAGCCTGATCAATTCTGATCGCTCAGACGAAATAGCCCAAAGTTTTTAATTATTGGGGAACACTTCAAGATAATTGATAGGCACCGTTCATTTTGAATAAAAAAACTCAAAAATCAGGCAGCTGAACAAATGTTTCTCAGAGATTTCGATTTCAGAGCAGTTGTAACGATATTGCGAGAAATCAATTATATGCTCTGATTCTAATCCCTCCCAATATCCCCATTCTTTCATTTGCATTTTTTAAAATTTCTCAGTTAGGCTTTGTTATGCCCACGGAAAAAACTTTAATTAATGTCTTTTTAAACTGAAAAAAATCACAGTGTAATCAAGACCAGCGAAATTTTACGAAATTATAAACGCAGCAAAGCAATTTGAAGTTGCTTGAAAATCCAAAATGCAAAACAGGTCTAGCATTGAATATGGAATTATTATATCTCCACCGAAATTTATGGAGGAAAAATTGTTCATAAAAATCTCGTTAAGATGATCTCATTTCGAAAATGGTGTAGCTGTTAGAGAAATACAAAAAAACGTTACAAAAAAACCATTGAACAGCAAAGAATTTTTTCCGATTGATGCCACGGTGTCTCGGCGATGGCAGAGTCTAAAGTAGCGCTGATAAGGGCGATATCACCTCGTGTAGAGAAAATGCTTTGTTAAGCCGATTACGTGATCTTTAGGTATTCGGAAGGTTCGACTAATAGCAGAACTGCCTCTCTTAATTGAAAGATGGAGTTATCTTGGTATCTGGGCACTATTAAATGTCCTATTACTGTAGGTATGAAGGGTTAGGGTGAAGCAGTTGCTGCAAAGTGAACGAGAATGTCTACTTCCTCTATCCCTAGGACAAAAGAGGGAAAGTTCCACGGGCCAAACGACTACTCTAACCAGTTTTCTACTCTAACCAGGCCAAACCTCGTTTTAGCGGTCTATCCCAAACTCTATAAAAAGTTACTCATCCGTTCGGGATAGCTCCCGATCAAATGATCAAGAGATTTTCGATAAGCAGGTCCAGGAGAGGCCACTAAGCCCGAATTGGTTTTGGAAAAGGTGATAATGACTAGGAATAACAACGCTGCGTGAAGGACTAATTGAGTTCTGAGCCCACGGAACTGGGGGAGTGTCCTCATTACGGTAGCAAGGGGTGGTGGGTGTGCCCGGCGAAGGGTGTGTGTGGCAGTAGCAGTAACAGCAGATGTGTTGGGTGATCATTATGTACGTAAGAGATTACAACCAGCCAGCACCCCATTATAGAATCGGATTCGATTACAAGACAATACGGGCCAGGGTGTTTGAAAAACAGAGGTACTCTGTGTCTGCGATACTATTATGTTATGCGCATTATTGGTGGTTGACTTCCGGAGATGGCGGAAATGGGGTGCTAAAACGGCATCGGAAGACGTCTCTGACCGGTGGACAGTCGTTGCCGGAAGAGGAAACTTGTGTTTCCCATGGGTAATATGATAAAAAGAAATCAAAAAATAGGACGTCTTTTTTCTTAAGACCATCTTCAGATTTCTTGAACATCGTACTCTTCTAAGTTATTTTCCACCTTCTCCCAGTGCTGAATTTGGAAATGTATTTAAATGATTTTTGGAGATCTGCCATGCTACAGTTTTATAATGAGCTGCAATACATTTTTGATTCTACAAAATTGTACCCTTAGTATAAGTTGAAGGGGAATATAAGCTTGAGGATACCTCTATAAGATGACATCATGACAAGAGAGAGTTCTCAAGCTGGTTGATTCGTAGGCGCTCTTTCTTGTCGCTCTGTTTCAACCTCTTAGCTTTCCATGTTTGAAAAACCTGTATTTCACTAACTCAGTCTCCTTCATCGGTATGATTGGAGGTACTGGTGAGCGGCGTACATCATCTGGAGA